GCGCGGACGCCTCCCGGGGGCCGGGGCTGCGGGGGGCCGGGGCGGCTCCTGCGCTCTGCGCGCGCCCTGCGTGTGTGAGTGAGCGCGCGTGTGCAGGGGAGGTGCGTGTGTAAATAAACTTGTCTGGGTTTGCTGGCTGGGCTGGGAAGAGCCGTGCAAGAAGCAGGGAAAAGGTCGCGTTTGTTTGAAGAATGCGCCCCGATAGCTCCCTACCACATGCTTTTAAATAATCCGCCTGCCATTCCCAGGGAGACACTAAAAAAAAGAAAAATCACTACCATTTGGATTTTAAAGTAAGGGAGACGGGATCCGTGCTCTGGATGTCCAGACCCTGGAAATATTAGTATTGTATGTCACAATGCGAAAAATGTTTTTAAAAAAAGACGGAAAAAGAAATGACGTCGTGATGCTTGACTGACCTCAAAATCAAAATCAGCCTTCCTCCCCGCCTCCTCCTCTCGCTCCTCCTTTTCATTCTGTCTCTCCCTCCTCCCCCCCTTGTCCCCCCACCATCGGTCTCTTTCCCCCTCTCCTCTCCCCACTTTTACTATTCCATCTGGTAGTTCCAACGATTAAATCGGATTTTTGACTCACTGCCCCGTTTTTAATTTCAAACTTTACTTAAAAGCTACTTTTAAAACTCAGTCTATTTTATACCAGTATGTGATTAACAATTCAGTTCTTATCACTTGGGAAAAATAATTTAATAATCGAACAATAAATCTTTCTACCATAGGTCCAGTATAACGAAGACTCCTAATTGCAGCTGTGGGTTTAGCTCTACACTGAGACCTCAAAAAAGTGAGCTCTCCCTGGATCCAGCCTGTCTTACGAAATCAGCTCCAACAGAAAAGGTTATGGAATACGGTAGAAAATCATGAATCCTTTGAAATAATTTCCATAGGAAAACCTCCATCGACAGTAGCATGGGAAAGAAAGAAAATTTCGGATGAACTTGGTTATAAAGCAGAATGAAGTTTTGCATTGAAAATGTATCCTACAGGAGTGCATAGTTTCTCTTCCGAGAAGGAAGAGAACTAGGATGACATTTCCTTTGTAAGAATGAAATACTGAAAGACATTTTAAACCATTTTACATTTGAATTTTCCAAAGGTCGACCTTGACCATATGAAACTCCGGTGGCCACAGCGAGAGTGTGTGTAAAACGACGAGATCCAGGGATGCAGAAATGGGGCACAGGGTCCGGGGGGCAGGCAACGGAAGCAGGACACAGATGAGTGCTGGGACTCCTTGGTGCACAGGCATATTTTGTCTTTAAAAGAAAAAAAAAGTCATTTTGGTTTTAAGCAGTTGTCATTTACAAACAAGATAAGGGGATAATTAATAAAGTTAATAAGACATTTTCATACCTGTGCAAAGGCCTCGTTTAAGCAAAGGAAGAAATTTTCCATTCTATTTTTTTTTTAGTTGAGCATCATAGGAAATCTGTCAGCAAACTGCAGCCACCTCTTAATGAGTGAATGCACCCAAGAAAGATGCCAGATTCTTAAACATCTTTTCAAATATTTTAAATGTCAGACTCATGTTAGAAGTTTTGAAGTTTGTAAATAAAAGTGTTGTTTTTTTAACCAAATAAAACACCATATTCTTTCATGCCAGATTTTTCCTCCTAGAAATTTTCCTTCTGGGAAATTCCTTTTTTTCTGCTTTCCTTTTTGGGAATCTTGAAGCTCAATTTCAAAATGAAATCTTAAATAAATGAGAGGAAATCGGCTCTAGATTCCCAAGATTCTTATTTTCTAGTAGATAAAAGAAAGCTCTAAGGCAGTCTTAATAATAATGGCCAGTATGAATGATCTGTCCGTGTCAGACAGTGTATTAATTTGCAGATATTTTATTTTGTTCTTATTAGAACCCTATGATGTAGTTCTCCCATCTCACCCATAAAGAATTTGAGGCCCAGAAAATCCAAGCAGCCCAAATTAGCTCATAGAGCTGAAATTTGTGCCCAATTCTGACTCCACAAAATCTTATAACCTCTGCCCCAGTCTCACAATCAATAACTAATTAATCAAGACACCTCTC